TTGTTGTCAAAACAAATTTCACATTGTCAATATCAAAGGAAATAGTAATATTGTTGTCAAAAACTGTCACATTGTCAATATTAGGAAACAGTGATATCGTTGTCAGACAACTGTCACACTGTCAGTATCAGGAAACAGTGATATTGCTGATGTCAGAAAATTTACACATTGTCAATATCAGGAAACATTAACATTGTTGTTAAAAAACTGTCATTGTCAATATCAGGAAACAGTGATATTGTTGATGTCAGAAAATTGTCACATTGTCAATATCAGGAAACATTAACATTGTTGTCAAAACAAATTTCACATTGTCAATATCAAGAAATAGTAATATTGTTGTCAAAAACTGTCACAATGTCAATATTAGGAAACAGTGATATCATTGTCAGACAACTGTCACACTGTCAGTATCAGGAAACAGTGATATTGTTGATGTCAGAAAATTTACACATTGTCAATATCAGGAAACATTAACATTGTCAAAAAACTGTCATTGTCAATATCAGGAAACAGTGATATCGTTGTCAGACAACTGTCACACTGTCAGTATCAGGAAACAGTGACATTGTTGATGTCAGAAAATTGACACATTGTCAATATCAGGAAACATTAACATTGTTGTCAAAAAAATTGTCACATTGTCAATATCAGGAAACATTAACATTGTTGTTAAAAATTTGTCACATTGTCAATATCAAGAAACATTAACATTGTTGTCAAAAAATTGACACATTGTCAATATCAGTAAACATAACAGTGTTGTCAAAAAATTGACACTTTGTCAATAACAGTAAACATAACAGTGTTGTCAAAAAACTGTCACATTTTTAATGCAAGAAAGAGCAATATTGTTATTGTCAGTATCAAGAAACATCAAGACAATAAGTGTTTTGTCAAAGTCATGTATTGCCAAAGTCACATGGTAGTAGTGTTACCAAGTTCACTGAACTGTGCCATTGCCAAGGTTAAGGAATAGCAACATTAGATCATTACATTAAATAGACATTATCTGGCAAGAAAACTTCTAAGGTCTAATTTTCTAGATATTAAAAACTATTTAGATTAATAATTTGGTAATATAATGAATTCAATTATTAGGCATGACATGGTGCCAAATATTGCACAGTGTATTATTTTAATAGTGTCATTCCTGGCCACTAGTAGATTTAATTTCACTTGTCTACTTATTTGAAATCAACAAAGAAAATAGTAACAAAAAATAAATTGAAGCAAAATAAGACTTGTTCAACCTCTTTAGTTTTCCAATAAAAACATTAAGTACTATTAGTGGTAAAATTAATAAAAACACAACATAACTACATTGCATGAAAGACAGTGGTTGTGTTAAAATGTGGACAGAACTGTTAACATTTACATATAAATAGCATATGTAAATTAAATACCATGTATAAGAACCAATCAGACATTGGTTTGCAATACCTTTCTGACAGTCAAACATTACTAATCACTATATGTTGTACATGTAGTATACCATGTATGTTTTGTTATTGATTTAAAAAATCAAGTAATGCAGACAACTTCGAGAATGTTTGAATAATTGTGTTCGATACTGCATCTTGATCAAGTGTGATTCATAAAAATGTTATGGCAACAAAAATATTTGGTAGATGAATCAAAGAAAATGCTAGATTGTGTGTGTCCTGAATTTATCTATACCTAGCAATTTGAAGTGCAGGCACACTTGTGTTTGCATGAAAGTTGCATTTACACACTGTTTATTGTAAGCAACACCTATCATCGAATACACTATTAAGATTGCTACTAATATAAGTTGGTTTGGAAACAGATCTCGAAATATTGAACCAATGAAACTAGCCTGCAGCAAATCAAACGTATGTTTCATTGTCATGATCACTCAAGGCAAATCAAACGTATGTTTCATTGTCATGATCACTCAAGGCAAATCAAACGTATGTTTCATTGTCATGATCACTCAAGGCAAATCAAACGTATGTTTCATTGTCATGATCACTCAAGGCAAATCAAACGTATGTTTCATTGTCATGATCACTCAAGGCAAATCAAACGTATGTTTCATTGTCATGATCACTCAAGGCAAATCAAACGTATGTTTCATTGTCATGATCACTCAAGGCAAATCAAACGTATGTTTCATTGTCATGATCACTCAAGGCAAATCAAACGTATGTTTCATTGTCATGATCACTCAAGGCAAATCAAACGTATGTTTCATTGTCATGATCACTCAAGGCAAATCAAACGTATGTTTCATTGTCATGATCACTCAAGGCAAATCAAACGTATGTTTCATTGTCATGATCACTCAAGGCCAATCAAACGTATGTTTCATTG